CCAGCTGGCGGGCCACTTGTGCCACCTGTCATTATCAGAGATGGTTGATGAGCGCACACCAAGTAAGCTTGTCTCCAAAACGCTTCTGGTACACAACAACAGAAAGAAGAAGACAGTCAACGCAAGAAGCCCAGGAAGAAAAATCTTGCCCAGCTTCTTGAAAGACACCGGTTGAGGAACTCTCCACACATTTCCCGAGAAACGGTCAACTGCAGTTGCAAGGAGGTTCGAACGCCACATGAGCAAGCTGAAGCTGCTAGAAATATGTATGCATGGCCCCACATGCGACCAAGCCTCCCTGTGCACGAAAGATGGCGGCATTAGCACATGTGTACCGTCAGCTTACCGTGTTAATTCATTTGTAAATCGATCGATGGTGAACATTCTCACGCTTCTTGATCGAGTCATCATGTGCACAATGCACCGAATAAACGCATACACAACACACATGTGTGTGCCGTGAGGCGGCAGCAGCTAAGCCCTTAGCTTAGCTATCATATGGTGACGGCAAAACTGAAAAAAGACCATCATGCAAAATTGGCAATTACAGACGCTTCAAGGGACGAACTTCGGAAGTCCGGGCATGTGCTCCGTGTGCACTTGGAACCGAAACCCCGCAAGATTGATAGGTCGAGATTTCACACAACGATATTTTATCGAGCCGATGCTGATCAATCTCCCCTTGGTCAAATGATCTGATATTATATGCTACTCCGACAAAGCTGTTGTCGAAGTGACAGGCACTTTGAACAAAAGCTCGTCTAGCTTCATTCGCAGCCGGAGCATACTCCCGGGCGCCTCGGCGGCCTCCCGGCTCTCGGCCGCCTCTTCGTACTGTAGCAAAAGCGTCTGCATCACGAACAGTTGCATGTCCACGGTCTTCAGGTCCTCCCGGGGGAGCCTGTCGAGCACCCGGAGCGCCCGGTCTTCGTCCTCGGCGTTTACGCACGCTCGCAGCAGCCTGCAAGGGAGCAGCCAACTGAAATCGAACAGGGCCTTTAAAGGCCGTTCTTCTGGGGTCACCCGTGGACTCCCACTGCTTAGAGACCTGCCTCGCGGTCACGATTCAAACAGTGGATTGGAAAAGTCCCTGAGTTCGGTCTGTAGCCGCAGTGATTGGCCTACATCCATGCGACGAAGACGGCCAATATGAAGGTTCGGCTTCGTGAAAGCCAACACGCCTTCACGTGGCTTGTAAAAGACGTTAGGCTTCGTTCACGCCTTCTAACGTGAAGCTTCTTGCTTCAGTTACCAAGTGCTAATTCTGGTGAGTGGTGAGAAGGACGCACTGCTCGACAGCTACGTCGCCTTCTCAACGGCTTCGCTTCCTGATGCCATGTTGTTGCTAGGTCTCTGAAGCCCGGACAGAAGTATCGCTTTCCAGGAAACTTCGAAACGCAGTCCGATGTCCGGAAGTTTGCGAACTTGCTGGGGGCAGGTCATCAACACGACCACCAGGCAAAGTACACCTGAGCACATGCCGTTAAACTTTGCACCTTCGGTTCGCCCCTCACCTGACGAGCGTTACGATCGTCGGCGGCAGCCCGTACTCTTCCTCCATCCGCCGCACGATCCCCTCCGCCATTTCCGCGTCCAGCGCGGCATCGCAGCAGTCGATCAGCGCCTCCATCCCGATCCGGGTCGGCCGTAACCCGATGCTAACCATGCTGTCGACGACGCGTAACCCGTTACTAACCGTGGGCAGCCGGACCCCGTCTTCGCGCTCGTCCTCGGAGTTGTTGCCGTTCGGTGCACTTTTGGGGGAGCAACTAGAAGAGATAGAAAGGGGAATCTAAGTGGAAGTTTTGGCTACTAACCAGGCTGCTTAGCAAAAGTCGACCCCCGGTTATTGAAGGCGCAAGCAGGCAGCAGAGTTGGAACCGCTCAAGTCTGTATTGTTGATCAAATGACCAGGCTACAAACGAACATGGTGAGCTGCTAACAGCCCCTGTAACGATATCGTGAAGAGGGCCCGCGACGCACTACCGACCCCTCAAAGATGTGGAGCAATTTCAGATCAGCAACTTGAAGTGAGAGAGAGGTGAGGCGTGGATTGAAGAGTGCCCGGGGTAAAAGCTCGGCCGTTTTAGAGGCAGAAAGGTTCAGAAAACCGTGAGCGTCGTAGAAGTAAACCTTGGTGGTAATGGGAAAGAAGCGTTGGGTGTAAGAGTGGCAGAGAGTCCCTCCGGCCAACGAAAAGCAGCGGAAGAGCATCTCAAAAGGATCGGGGCACAGTCGAAGAGTCACTACGAAGAGGCACAAAGGGGGAGTGTGCTCTAACAAGGGCCCGGCCGAGAACCGCTCAACTGGAGCAGGCGCTTTGGATTGACAACTAGGGGCGAGAGACAGGGCGCCGGGAGTTCTAAGGAGCAGGAAAGGTACACTTGACCACTTTGAAAGCGAAGATAGGGAAAGAAAACAGGGCGCACTTCGACGTTGCGGCCAGGTCACACGACACCTCGAACGGACCAGGCGTGGGTGAAACGGGGCCCTGGGTATGGTCTGAACCGTATCAAAGCGAAAGTCACGGCGGGGATCAAAATGAATGCTTGGAAAAAACTCGTACAGATGGGCCTTAGGAAGAACCGAGGAGGGACACGCTTGCGGTTGCAGACAAAGATCTGTGCTTTTTACTCACTTCAAAGATTTATTGAGCGCCTTTTGACCCGGCTAGAAACAAACAAACCTGGCTCAGACGGTAGGGACCGGCGGGCTTCTATTTGACTGCCGACCTTGGCAGCGAATACAGGGGACACATGCATTCGCACCGTTTGAAAACACACACGCCGTAAGTACCAGGCGATACGAGCAAGCGGAGGTCAACCTCGTGCTTTTTCGAAAATTTCACAACCTTCACGTGATCCTGATTCACAAGAAGCAATGAGATCGTGGGAAAAAGCGGGGTTTGACGCACCTGGACAGTTCTAGCTCACCAGTCAAAGAGGGCATGCCGGCTGCCCACGTCCTCTCTCAGGAACGCAGCCAGTCTCATGCCTGCCTGTACAAATAGCAGCCAACAGTCATTACCAGAACATCTGGGATTCCTTGTTTGATAGAACCGGAGAAATGTACTGGAATGGGTTCCACGGATTGCTGAAGAGAAGGTGGCTTCAGGAGAACTTGATGAACAACCAGACCGCTTAACACGAGTCATGTAGCGCACAGTTGAGCGGAAGCAGTCAATGTTCAGAAGTCGTTTCAGTGTCGGTCAGCTTCTCAGATTGATCCTCCAATTCCAATTGCGAGGATTCACAAAGCTTCAAGCTTTTGAGTGCGGACACCAGTGCTTGTCAAGCTGCAAGGGGGCCAATCGATAAGTAAGAAGATTGCAGACTCTCGACATCTCACAAACGCCAGGCCCACCAGCCCTTCCAAATGATCGTCATATCCTCAAGATATCTTTCCTTGCACTGCACACCAGCGAACGAATCACTTGAAACAGGGTGCCATGACTCACCGCTTTTGGTTGTGATAGAAGGGCCCCAAAAGTATGCTGGTAGCCCGGAGGGAGCTGTCGGTCCTTTGCCTTGTTGGCGAGAAGCGGCCTGGCAAAAACTGGCGTCACGGAAGTTGATGAAGCTCTCAAGAGCAGCCCTATGATTGTCCCCCATTGCGCACCTGTGCTGCAGAGGGAAAGTAACGGGAGTTCATACCACACGCGGGGGCACTGCTGATAAGTAGGAATGAGGACCAGGAGGAGTTTACTGGAGACCGGGAAATGCCACCAAGTTTGGCAGATTGTTGATCTTAGTTCGGGGTGTGCAGTTAGTATTGACAAGAAGATTCTGTTTTCTGAAATGCACGTACATGCAGCATAGAACTCAAGCCTAGTAGATGGCTTAAGAGGCTTGGGGCCCCAGGTAAGCGATCATGAATATAATTGCGCCAGCAGCCAAGAAACAACTCATGAAAAAAACAATCTGTTCACCAATGGACTGATGATATGCCCACAGCAAAGTGGCTACTCAAAAGCTGCGCGTAAGGAGAGCACGCCTGAAGACATGATCCAGAACAGGATCAATCTGAAGAAAGAAAAAGGGAAGTGGAACGCACCACGAGGATGGGTTGATCAGTTGGGTGTGGAGATTATCCCTGATCCTCTGCGACCGCCACTGCTCAATCACCATCTGATCCCAGGGTTTCTTGGCGCCCCCGTCCGCCAGGTATACCCGCATGTTGGTTTCCTGTGGCTTTCTTGGCTTATCAGGCCCAGAGACTGGCTTGCTCGTTGCCCGCAAAAAGTGGGTGGCGACATTGTGAGAGAAGGAGGGGCGAAAACTTGATGTAGCAGCAGGGGTTTTGGAGCTGCCAACTAGAGCGGGGGGGGACTGTAGAAGAGAGGGGCGAAGGTTAAACGTGTGGCGTGAGAAAACGAATGAGGAAAGTTAATTTTCAAGTGCAACCCAGCAGCTTGCATTTCTCAGTGACCCCAGCAGCCTGAAGCTTGCCGGTGTCCTGCTTCCGAAACCCTTCGCTTCATCGCTGCAGAGAACCAGGTTGCCCAGTTGGATGAGCTGGAGTCCCTCAAATCCATTGTTTAGTCGCGATGCTTCTAGCTGCCACACTCTCATTGCACCACCAAAGAGCCCAGCCAATATTCTGAGCTCACAAGGTGAAGCGCAAGGGATTGCGAGGTTGCAGCGAAATGGAGATAATCAGACTTACTCGAATGGCTGGGGTTAGCAGGGATCCCCTCCACTCTTTCAAGGAACGCGGAAAGATTCCTTGTGACCCGCCTCAAACTTGAAGAAGCCATCCTCATGGTGATCTTCAAGAGATATTCAAAAGAAGCTGCCAACAGAAGAAATGGATCTTTGAAGGTGTCTATGTAGCCTGCATCATTGAGACCTGAAATTACAAAATCGCTCGAACGATCTTTTGCCATCCAACACCGTCTCGCTTTCGACGGTGCGTTTTACTGAGTGCCTTGCCACGTAAGACGTCATGTATGAGCGCCCGTTTCTTGGCCCAGCTGTTGTGCAAAGGCAGGATGTGCCGGTTTAACTAGGACTACACTGTAACCTGCTGCATACGACGTTTCCTGGGAACCGGCAGAGGGATTCGCAAAGCAGTTTCCGGTGTCGAACGTCCGATTTACTCGCCAGGTATTTGAATTTTGACCAGATTGCAATCAGCAGGGTGGCGCCAGGAAGTTCGGTCCTATGCAGCACATCATCCGAGAACCAGTGCGTGAAACTGTGGCTGGACGCAGAGGGAGATGACGCTGCCGACTCGGCAATGGACGCTGAGGAGAATGCAAATCCTCTGAAAGGTGCACACACTACCATGAAAGAGCTTGGCCTTCTCCAGCAACTATATGCGTGCACCACCCTCAGATCACATCTCTAGAGAGCAAGGTTTGCAATTGAGACCTGCGACCCTGGCAGTATCCCAGCTAGTTGAGCCGTTTGGTGACGGACCATTGCTGACACATACTGTGAACTGAAGCAGGTCGCTTGCGTTTTTCTTGGAACCAATACTTCTAAAGAAACCCAAACAATCAGAGGCACTGGCGTGGAACATCGTGGCTGCCCATGGGGCGTCCTTTGGTAAGCTGCCGGCATTGCTCCGCAATCTGCAGAGAGCCGCTATTTCATTTTCGTCTGCCCTGCCCTTGAATGCTCTCACAAGTTCACCAGGTCTTCTTCCTTTTACTGGGCCAGGAATGGGGCGCCGGAGTACAGCTGCAAACAACTTGCAGCTGCCGCTAGTTTTCCAGCCCCGTACGACTTTGCAGGAACTAAGGATTCACACCAAGCTGCATTCGATTCTTCTCAGCCTATTGGGCCTTGAAGGGATTTGTACTCGATTCTTTTCCAAGGAATTGGAAACATAAGCTTGTAGCAGGCAGTCAGTACCGCCAGCAGCGTAGAGCAGGCCCGACCAAAGTCTAAAGAGGGGAAGCTTTGTAAGTAAAAGCAGTAGATGTCAGTCCTTCAGCTGGCACCTACAGTCAACTCGGACAGAGTGAAGCCTCGGAGCTCAATAGTGGCAGCAGCAACGAGTCCCCACTTTCCCTGCTCCTCACTTCCCCTGCTGCCAGGGATGACCTCACCACGGACATCACCAACAAAACAAGCTACCAAACTTTCCTTGACACTCCTCCCGTATCCTCGCACCCCACGAACCTTCTGCGCTTGCTAAGCTGTGCGGCAAAAGCGTCCCTGACTGGCTATTAAGAAGGGCGGAAGACCCGGGGTATGGGGCACCCACAGGGGTCCAACAGAGGCGCTTCCGCGAGCTCTCAAGGGGCAGGACTGCATCATCCATGCAGAGACGGGGCCGAGGAAGATGCTCCCTTATTTGCTACCTGTGCTGTAGGGTATAGATCCGCAGCGATCGGCTCTGCAGGCAGTTGTTGTGGTGCCGACCAGGGAGCTGGGGATTCAGGTCAGTGCTTAACCGCCCGCAGCGAGCGTTGGGTTACGTTGAAAGGGCCGCTTCAGTGAGGGCCTTTGCTGTCAGGGTTGCAGGCAGTTGTGGTCGTCATGGTCAGAAAGTGCGACGTCAGGCTGTTGTTTGCATGTAGCACTCAGGGCCCTCTCACGGCTTTGCCCGATAAGGCCAAGGGTTGACGAAAGGTTGCGCTCTAGAGTAGGTTCGACAAAAGGGGTCTTGCATGGTGCTTGTTGCGCTGGTGGTGGCGGTCGAACAGAGGGATTACTATCATGGTCACAGAATTTTTCCTTCAATCAAGTAGAAGCTTCGGGGTTTTGTCATGCAGTTGACCGTTTCTCGGGAGATGTGTGGAGAGTTCCGGTGTCTTTCAAGAAGCTGGGCAAGATTTTTCTTCCTGGGCTTCTTGCGTTGAATGTCTTCTTCTTTCTGTTGTTGTGTACCAGAAGCGTTTTGGAGACAAGCTTACTTGGTGTGCGCTCATCAACCATCTCTGATAATGACAGGTGGCACAAGTGGCCCGCCAGCTTGCAGGCAAAGGAGTAAGACCAGGTGGCCGACGAGGAGGCTGCCAACACGAAGAAGCTCAAGTGTGGGAGAATCCAGGTCATGGCGTTGCTGGACAGGTGAGCCCCTATTTCCTTAGCATCCCTCAATTAGGGATGCCACAAAGTTCGATCAATGTCCACGGTCAAAAAACTGGGTGGAACATTTGCAATTAGTCGCATGCAAAAAGCTTGGTCGGAAGAAAGGCTCGGCAGCTTTACGTATCGGGGAAACAGATGCTTAAGAAATACCGTGTAGAAAACAACGCTCGTCCAACACTCCTTATTAATCTCGTCAATGGAGTAGATCCTGAAGTGTGCGTCAGAGCAATCGTAAGGGGTTGGGCAATGCGCAGATCTGCTCTTCGTGACAGCGCTTTATCAACTGCGAAAAGTGTCCATTGCAGCCCCCTTTCCTGATATTCGCAACGTTTCTTGCATCAAACCGTTCGGGTAGTCAAGAACGTGCTTCATGTTGATACTTGTCATTTTTATCCAGCGGCAAGCAATATCTGGAAGAACTCCGAAGGGCATTCTTCTCTATATCTATGACGTGGGTGGTCTGTAGCACCGAACACTTCCTGCGTGCCTTTCCAAACACAGCGCCTCTCCTGCTGAAGGGGCATAAGCAGCTCCTTCCAATCTGTGACACAGTCTGAATTGTGATTACGAAGGCCATTAAAAGTGACAATCTTAACTCCGACGAAGACCAATACATTGTCACAAGCTGGTAAAACCTTCTGCGCCGCAGGCAGGCCCCCCTCATCTGGTTGTCGGGACCCCCCCCCGGATCCATCAGATGATCGAATACAGGAACCTGCGCATGAATGGGCTAACTTCTTCA